CAGACTCTGGTCCATCTAACCCAGTAATGTCAACACTGACTTAACCTCTGCAAGGTTTCAGGCAGGAATCTTCCCAGTACAATCTAGCAATGCTGGGACGGTCTGTATGCAAAGCATCTGCTCTACTACCATTGAGCCAAGGATTGGGCAGAAAGTCCAGCGGTGCCATGAGGTCATTTTAGATGCTGGACTGCTTTTATGGGGACCCCCTTTGGATGGTCATATATATTCCTTCAGTTGTGACACACAAAGTACTTTTTCTCTTATTACCCAGACGCTGTTCTGGATTCCATGCCCTACAACTGCTTCCACAGTCCTGATCTATTTGCCAGTACTAATTAGAAGAAGGAAAAAAGTGACACAAACTGAATATGTGGGAGGTTGCATTTTAAACTTACTTAAATTATGGCACTGTCATAACTACAGACTGGGAGTGGAGACCGCATTTACTAGCACAGGTTTCTGGATGACCCCAGTCAACTCTCACTCTCAGTGCAGTCCCCAGACTGTGGCTGGGCTTTCAGGTCCAGCTGCACCACTGAACAAGCCCTGTCGATTGCTACAAGAACCTCCTAACGGGGTGATCCTTAGGCATGCATGGGTGGCATCCCCCAGGTCCTCGTGGAGGTCAGGGTTGTTTCCGAATTTGCACAGTTAATCACTTCATTCCTTGTTGCCTCTCGCAGAGACCAGATTCTCAGAGTACCTCTGCTAGGAGGCCCTGGAAGTCAAATGGACCTCCTTCTAGGACCCTGCAAATCGAAGTGGGCCAGACTGGGGAAACAGTATGCTTTCCTGCGATTCTCAAGAGCAGCGGTATGCTGAGTAGATTACTTCCCAATCTAGTAGGTCAACAGGGATCCTGCATTTGAGGGTCCTGCGGCTCATTCTGCTGAGTGGGGCCTTGGACTTTGCCTCAGAGTCCTGCCCTGTTGGCACCGCATTGCCCAGGAGAGACGTGTTGGAGGAGAACCCTGGCACGCTTCCTTGCAAATAAAGGCCACAGGTCAAGGAGCTCCGCAGGTTTTCCTGTGCTTCCTCCGCTGGCATTAGGAAACACTTCGGAATCCTCTTGCTGAAGTCCGTGTGCGTATGAATCAACAAAGGAGAGTCATTGTCAGGGGGCTGGAGAGCAACAGCAACCGCAGCAGGACGATGAGGGGGCAGCATCCAGATCTGCAAACCACAACCCCGCTTACTCTGGAGCGCTCGCACTGAATCCCAAGTCAACAGGATAAACCCCGATCGATCCCCCCAGGCTAGTGCTTCCAGATGTACTGGGCTGCGATGCCCAGCCAGCGGGGCTATGGTGCGGCGCAGCCACTGGCCGTCCTGGCTGGGAATGACGGGACTGGCAGTACAAGCACGCAGCTGAAAAGCACGAGGAAAGCTGGTAGTGCTCGGTTCATACAAGAAATTGCGAGTTTATACAGCTTACTAATAGTATAGTATGCTACATGTTACATGTGGTCTGCAAAATTTATTTTAAAAGAGTAAGATATCTACCCAGTGGGTAAAACTCGGGAGGTGCTTCTCGTAGTTGGAAATCGGGGGACGGTTCTTTCCAGCTGCATGTAGTTGGAGTAAGCTCCATGCAGCTCAGTTCCTGCCGAGTCCAGGAGCGGCCCCCATGCCTTGCCTTACTGCTTTCGGGAGAAGCTGCTTTCAAGTGATTCGGTCTTTCGGACCCGGTGTTAGAGAACTGAACGGACGCAGCCCGCTGGACTTAGCGAAGAGCTCAAGAATTTCGCCTGGGCTCGTAGGACGGGTTCCGTGATATGATCACGCACCAGTGGCTGTTCCCACTTCGGCCCTTTCTTTCCACAGTGACTGGTGCTACGTCCGATGAGGCTGGCTCTAAGGCAAGGTCTGAACGCAAAGGATCATTCGACTAGCCGGTCCCTTAACACCTCCTCGGTTATTTTAATCCCCCCCCCCCCCGCGAAACTCCGCCAGGACCACCTCGCAGACCCAGGAGCGCCTTCCCCGCTGCTTCTGGTCCCCTCCGCTGCACTTCAGAAGAACCGAAGCCAGCCGAGGACAAGCGGAGCCCTCCCCGGTGCGCAGGAACGGGCCGGACAGGCGCGCTGAGAGGGGTGGCTCTCTCTGCTCGGGGCCCGCTCTGCGCCCCTTCGAGGCACAGGGCCGGGCCGTTGCAAGCGCGCACTCGAAAGGACTGCGCCGCCCAGCTTCGGCCTTCCCAGGCCTCCTATGTGAAGCCGCTCCCTGGAGGCCCTGCCTTCCGTTAGACCCCTCTCCGCCTCCCCAGCTGCAACAGTCCTGGTGCCATCGCAGACCGCTCGGACCGTTCAAGCCCCTCGTTGGGGCCCATAGATAAGGCGGTCTCTGGGCTTCGTGGCCGTCCTTCCCAGAAAGCGTGGCTCGAATCAGTCGGCAGGTGCCTGATTCTATACATGGAGGAAGCGCCATCGAACGCAATGAGAGGCACTTCTCAGAAAACACGCAGAGGGGTTTGGACCGTGAATGCAGGACGTGTCCGTTTCTCGTGCTCCTCCGGTTAATATATTTGCATTTAAGCCGTTTTCAGCTCCTGTGATAACTCAGCATGGATCGGGCAGAGCCATGCAATTGCTCAGAAACTGCTGAAGCTGCACATTGATTTTAATAGGAGAGACAAATTAATTCACAGGTCACAAAATGAAAGAAAGACAGACTACAGGACTTCATGTCATTTCTTACTAGAGAAAAGCGTCTTGATTTACAGCGCTATAGAGGCTACTCAGAAGTACATTCCATTGACTTCAATACGTCGTAATATCATGAAAGCGGGCATAGGATTCCAGCCTTACAGCGTGATCCAATCCTAAGCACGTTTGCTTGTGTTAGTGAGACCTACATGGTTCAAATGGGACTTATTGTGGAGTGTCTTTTAAGATCACAGATTTAAGTAGATTTTCTGACTCTGGCGGCCTCTGTTCTCAGGAGGTGGCACCGTAAATCTGATTTGGGAAGTGGAATTCATGCACGATTGCACTGAAAGTCGCAGAACGCTAAAGAAGGCAACGCATTTATTTGAGGTTACCTTATACGGGGAAATCCGCAGGGCGTCCTTTCAAGCACCTTCAGCGTGCCCAAGAAGCTAAAGTTACTCTCCTGGGCCTGGGTTATATCCCGTATTAACGCTACTTAGAATAACCTCACTGAAATGAGGAGGAATTGAGTTATCCTGCCGTTGAATGCCACTGAAGGGTATTCACAAGCCACTTCCTCAGCCCTACAGTTGCACTGGGATCGATGGATTCCGCACCAGGGTACTGCCAGCGCGGTGCGTGTCATTATGGGCTTGCGGGCCTGAGGGTCCCTCGACCGAGCCACCTTCCACTGCAAACTCTTGAAAGCGACTGCTTTACTGGAGAGCAAGCCCGCTGACTTCAGCGGCTCCTACTTCTCTTTCAAAGCAGCGCGGACCTAAATAGGCCTCCGTGGGGAGGAAGGGCTCCTGAAATCCACGGGATTTCCTTGAGAGTTAAACGAATTTGAAAAGAGGGCAGCTGTCAGAGGGCGGATCGGGAAAGCTGCGGCAAGATAGCGCAGGGGAAAGAGGGGCGATCAATCTGAGAGGCTCCACAGACCCCCCCTCCTCCCCCCCTCCCGCAGCCAGGCCAGCCCGCGCCCTGACCCTCCCCCTCCCTGCCGAGTGTTAATTGGGCCTCTTTCTGGGCTGGGGTGGCTCGGATGGTCCCGCGACTGCCGCCCTTGGCAGGCGCGCACGTCACTCGGCGCGTTTTCCCCTCCCTCCGGTCGCCCTCAGCCTGGGAATGAAGAGCGAGGCCACTTCAGCGCTTCTTCTCTGGCCCTGCACCCCGGAGGAGAGGAGGCGGAGATAGGCGAGCTTTGCTACAGGGCCACCCGGAGCCTCCTCCTCGCCTGTCGGCCCGGGAGCGGGAGATTCGGCTTCTTCTGCATCCTCCGCACTGCCGCTGCTCCAGCCTCCGCCGCGCACGACTCCGGCTTGAGGAGCAGCGCCTTTTCCCTTCGGAACCTCGGCAGCCGGCGCCGGCTCGGCCCTGGCCCCTTTCTCCAGCGGAAGGAAGGAAGGAAGGAAGGAAGGAAGGAAGAAGGGAGGAAGGAAGGAAGGAAGACGGGAGGAAGGGAGGAAGGAAGGATTCTGGGTTCCGCAGAAGTCACTGAGCGCTGCCCGAGAGCCGCTGCCTCGAGCAAATCGGCATCCCCGGGGAGCTTGCGAGATTCTCCCGGAGGAAATGGGAACATCCCCGCCCCGCCCCCGCCCCCGCGCACACGTACACGCACGCTAATTCGGCTTCCCTTCCGCCCCCCGCCCCGCGTCCCAGGGGCGCAGGACGGAGCCGCGCCGCGCTCGCCAGCGGAGGAGCGCGAGGGGCTGGTGTGACGCACGAGACAGCCCAGTTTGGCCCGAAGGGGTCTAAAATAAACACAGCAAGTACACACGTGTTAAGCGGGGCGGGAGAGGAAAGGGGGGCATCGAGTCCCGTTCGCCAGGCTTCCGATTCAGCGCGAACTCCAGCGCCCTGAAGGGGTCGGCGTGGCTCCTGCCGTTTCTTGGCTCCGATTTCCCCGCTGGGTCGGATCCGTCCCTCGCGAGCCGATGCGGGAAGAGCGCGCCGCGTCCTGCCCGCTCGCAGCCCGCTGCCGCCCTTGACCGTGCTCTGCAGGCTGCGCTCCTCTGGCGTTGCGAGAAGCGAGAAAGGAAAGGGAAAAACCTCCGATGATCTCGGAGATCGGCCGTCTCCCCCGCCCGAGGCAGCGCAGACCTTGGCCGCTTTAGGGAGTCTGGCTTCCGGGCGGGCGAGACCCGAAAGTTACCCCGCCAACGGCGGCATCTCCCCGACCCGCCGCCCTCTGCGGCCGGTCCTCCCCACTCGCGCCGCCAGTCGCGCCGCCGCCCCTTCCTCCCTGCTGCTGCGGACCCGGAGCCAAAGTCCATGTTCCCGGCGGCCACCCATCGGGGTCTATTATGCCAGTGACACTCTCCGCGTTGCCTTGCAAGAGCCGCGAAGATGAAGGAGAAGTCCAAGAACGCCGCGAAAACGCGGAGGGAAAAGGAGAACGGTGAATTCTACGAGCTGGCCAAGCTGCTTCCGCTGCCTTCGGCCATCACCTCCCAGCTGGACAAGGCGTCCATCATCCGCCTCACCACCAGCTACCTGAAGATGAGGGCGGTTTTCCCAGAAGGTGGGTGAGTCATCTCCCGGCTCCGGGGTGCGCCTACAGGGGCGTGAGGGTCGGGGGAGAGGGCGGTCGGGGGCCTTCCACTGCTTCTACGCCGCCAGACTGGCTTTCAGGTGGATCCAGACCACAGCGCCGTGGTGATGGGTCTTGCGTTTGCTCCGGCCAGAGGGATTGTCCGGGCGTCCCTCGCTCGACAGTAAAGACCTCTGGGGGCAGTTAACAGCGCTCGGGGTCGCCCCTGGGAAGCGGTCGCGGGAAACCTCGCTTCTCCTCTCATGAACAAGCATTAACAACAACCAAAGAGAGCTCTGGGTGTGCAACTTTTTGGGAAATCGCTTGGTCATCCCCGCTGCTAAGTTATCTTCCTTTCAGTTGAACCCATAGACAGCGAAAGTGTTGCGGATCGGGGCCTAAGCTGTGATTTCTGATTCTTCCTAAACTGAAATCCAATCCCATTGATTCCAATACCCCTCGAATGACTCCATCTGAAGTTTAAAAGCGTATGGATTGGGGCCCAGGTTGAAGGAAGGAAGGAAGGAAAAGAATCAGAAAAGGAAAATTCAGTAGCATTTTAATCTGTGTATTTTGTTTTTAACATCGGAGTGCTTAATATACTGGCCCGGATGATTCCGCCTATAGTGCACATCGCATTTAATATTAGGATTCTCTGTCCTATTTCATTCAAAAGTACAGTAGGGAAGGAATTATCATTCTTGCAAGGACTGCAGAACACATTTCCACATTAATAAAATAGTAGTGACTCTTCTGAAAAAGTGATAAATGTGTCTAAACCATGATAATGCCTTGTTTGACAGGACTATCAAGTATTGAGGGGGATTTGTAGATACCCTGGTAGTATACAACAGTTGCTATCCATCACAAAGAAAAGCAAAACAATCCTCTTGACTAAAATTTATCCCGCAGCTTGACCTGCAGGAAATGTAGTAAGGGAATCAACAATACCTAAGAGACAGGCAAGGAGGTATGGAAAAGAGAGGACAATCTGTGCAGTGGCCATGAATTTGCTGCAGTTTAATTTTCCACCAGGTCACAATATTAAATCAGTCTCTGAGAAGGAAATCAAGGCTTGAGATGGCTAAGACCCACCTACTTCCCAAGGCCAGGATTATACATATACATGTATAGGAGATGGGCCCCTAACAGCAAGCAGGGTTTTTTTAAAGGCCTATGGACCTAAATACTTAGACAACTGGACTGTGTAAAACCATGAGCAAATCCTTATGGTAAAAACCAATCCTGTTGGCCTTGCCTTTACTAGAACAAATCAATATTGATCTGTTACTTGGGAGTAAGTCCTTAGTAATTATGCGTAAGATTGAGGCTGGATGTCCTTTAACTCCAAGTTTAATCATACTTGCCTTGAGCAAGAAAAGAAAAGCAATGTCACTTAAAGATGTTGGGGATCCAAATGAAAAGATGCCTAAAGAACTAATAAAGTATTTTATTAGAAAGCAAGAGCCAGTGGTAAGATCCAGATTTTGTCACAGACCCATTGAAATCAATGGGAAATTACATAATCAACAATGGAAAATTACATAATCAACCTTAAAGACAGTAGACTAAAACTGGGTCCAACCAATTTATTTCAGTGGAATTGCCTTTTAACGTAAATGTGCTAACATTATGAGCAACTATATGCATAGATCAAAGGGCATTTTTAATTCTGTTGTGCAGAATAATATGAATTCTAACCCATTAATTTGAGTCAATCCTATTCCTTTCAATTTAAATTACTTCCAAAGAAATTACACCTGCAGAGCTACTATTCTACGTAGATTTTCTTAAACATAGCTCCTTGCTGATATATGTGCGGCCAAATTCTCAAGTAAAATGTGTTGGAGATCATATTGGGAAGAATGCCCCAAGCATAAGAGTCAAAATAGCTGGTAGTACAATTGGGACTTGTGTGTGCTCCTTTTTACACTAGTTTAAAGAGCCCAGTGCATCTTGTTGGTTTTCCTTAAGAGATGAAAAAGGGTTTGCTTAAGAAGTGCATTTGAAAGTAAGCTCTCCTCCAGTGGTGCAGCGAGGGTTGGACCGCGGGGCTAAAGTCCAGGGTCCTGACCCACAAACGACCACCCAGAGAGCTGGTGTTGCTAGAGGGGGCTTTAGTATCAGGCGCAGCATCCCGTCTCCTTTCTAAAAAGATTGTATAATCAAAAGGCAGGCAACAGGCCAGTGGTGCTCACTTCACTGTTCTTTCTTTAAAAAATAAAATACCTTTTGCGGGGGTTATTCTGGGGAGTTTTGTTTGCCTGGATATTTTTTTTTTTAACAAACCAGCAACAAAATGGTGCTTATTCCCAACTCAATCCGAATAGCGTCAGGGCAGCGAAAGCAAACTCTATTTTATTCCCGTAGTGATGAAGGAGCTTTGTTTTAAGTCAGTTTAAAGTGCGAAACGGCGCATGCTAGGAAAGCACGTCCTTTTCAGAGCTGGACCGGCAAAGGCTTGCTTCGGTGTGCTTGTCGCTCTATGCAATATCAGGAACGCTGAAGCGGTTGCAACCCTCGGGATGGCGGTGGTGAAGGGGAAGACGAGAGGTGAGGATTCTCTGCTCCACCGCTCAAGAAATACGCACGGCCGCGAAGGGGCTCGGGGCGGGGGCGTCCGGACCGCTCCGGCACAGCTGCCTCCCTGTCCCTGCCGGCGCCAGCGCAGTCTCCCCCGCAGCCGGGCTGGTGCTTCTGGATCACACGCTGGGTCGTTGCCCCTCGCAGCCGCCTGCAGTTGCGCTCTTCGACTCGCTCACCTCCCCGCGCAGTTCACACGCACAAGCAAGCGAGGGCTCGCCCGGCCCGGGCGCTTTGCGTTCTCGCCTGCGCCGCGAAGGCGCCGCGCCTCGCTGCTGAGCCGGGGTCGTCGCGCCGGCTGATGGGGCGAGTTGCCGGAGGCTCGGCGCTCCGGCGAAGCCCATTCCAGGCGTGCAGCGCGCTCGTTTCTCCTTTAAAAGAGAGGTTTTCAGCCGCCCGCCCCAAAGGCGCTTCCGCGCTGGCTGCTTGGCTGACGGACGGGAGTCTCTCTGCGGAGCTCTCGGCTGAACGCCGCCTCCGCCAAGCGACCCCGCACGTGGCTCGGCTTCTTCTCTTGAGTCACCTGAGTGCGCTCGCCCTCCCGAATCCGGAAAGTGGGCTTCTTCCGTTCCCTTTCACAGTCCTGGCAATCGCGGGGCCCCGAAAGAAGTTGCTCGTGCAATCGATCATTATGTTTGCGCGCGTTTTACTCGAGCCAGACTTACCTGGGAGGTCAGATCTGGAAAGCTTTGACTGTGACTCGGCTTGGAACAGGCTGCCTGGTTAAATATGATTTTTCAGAGTAGATCTTGTCACTCTGGAAGGCTTTCTTCCGAGTTAAGAGCATGTCGTATGCGCAGGATATTATGTCCCCATTCGGTGTGCATGGCGTCTTCCAGGGTAATGGACAGACAGGGCACTGCCCCTACGAGCTTGCAATCGACACTATTGTTAGCAATAGGCTATTCCAGTTCTGAACACGCTTGCGTTGCCGTCGACGAAGATTTACCTCCTCGCTCGTGCTTGTGGACTTTCTTTGGAGCAGCATGATGATCGACAGAGATGAGCTACTTCTGGAATCGGCTCGCTCAGAGCAACGCGGCTGCCTGCCAGCAAGTCATCTCCGCGTTGTTTCCTGGGCTTCCGTTTGCTTGAGCCAGGCAGATTCCGGAAGGCCTCAGGCAAGCTGCTGAAGGATCACCTCAAGGCAAAGGCCAGGTACTCGCAAAGAGGCAGTGTGGAAAGGGGACAAGAAATGGGGACGTGGTTACAGAGTTCTCCAACCTGGTGATTGTGCTACCTTCAGAGAGGTAAAGTTGGGTTGCCTTCTGAGCAAGAGTTACCTCTGCGTTTTTACAAATTTATTTCGTTTCGTGGGGTTTGAAATCATCAGGACTTTTCCAGAGGGCTCTACAATCCTACTCGAACCCTACAGATTTCAGGCAAAATTTTTTGAAGTAAGGCTTCAGACCTACACACACTTATCCAGTTGGATTAAGTCCCACTGGAGTCAATGGCGCTTACTTCTAAGTAGATGTGATGTCACTGTAGCTATGTTTAAAGATCACAGCCATATATTGAAGATTAAGGCTCTTAACTGCAGGCACTTGTCTTTATGACAAACTCAGCACATCAAATCAGGAATAACTTAACATTTTTAAAGTATATAAACCCCACCCTTCCATCACTCTTTAATCACCCTGACTGGAATAGAACAAAACAACTTCAAAGTGCCTTAATCCCACTTAAGGTTGCATTCCTGTACACACTTACCTGGGAGTAAATCTCGTGTTGACTCCTGCGTTGATTTCCTTAGGATTGTGCTGTACCTGATTTTGAATAGTTTCCCTTGGTCTTCTGTAGTCCAGTCTCTGTTTCACCTGAGGGTGCACCCGAATCAGCACCTCACCCCATTAGTTTTCCTAACTGTAGTTGCAAAACCGATTAGGATTTGGCTCCTGTTACTGTGCAGGCTCCACTTTGTTGAGGATAATGCACAGCACAGCTCCAAACATGTTTACTCAGGAGCAGGTTCCACTTTATTTAATGGGGCTTTCTGACAAGGAAATGTGTGAACAGACTTGCAGTTTGTTTCATGATCTCTGCTCTTGGAAGTCTAAAGCAACTGACTAAACTTACTTAAGATACCTGAACAATAAGCTCCAGTCCCTGCCCATTTGAAAATATGCACTTGAGGTGTTTATGTTAAACCAGAGGAAGTAGCAACCAGACATGTAGTTGTGAGGGCTTTCTTGCTAACATGTGGCAAGTCTGAAGAATTAAATTATATTTTGACAGATTAAAAGTGTTTATCCTTTTGTAGATCACTTCAAAACCCATTGAAGCTGAAGTGCTCAGCAGTTTAGGGCCGGATCCAGTCTTAGTCATCTTAGAGCAAACCAATCGAAATAAAACATGTTAATTGCAATTAAATCGAGTTCCAGTAGATTTTATAGGTCTACTATTAG